CCTTCCTTCTTACCCGCCCTTTTTTCCCCTCCACAGGTTGTGATCATGAGGGACTATCAACATGAGAACGTGGTGGAGATGTACAACAGCTACCTGGTGGGCGATGAGCTCTGGGTTGTCATGGAGTTCCTGGAGGGCGGTGCTTTGACTGACATTGTCACACACACAAGGTAAGAGGAGTGGGAAGATGGAGGGTCCGCTCTCCTGCGATGGCCTCAGGGACAGTGACTTTTCCACGCCAGTCTCCCTGAAGGACTGGAGGAAAGGAGGGTCTGCAGAACTAGCACCCACCTAAAGGTTTCAGGTGTATCCTTCTGTCGATCTAAGCATCTTTAGGGAAAAGAAAAATGTATATGGAAGGAGGGAAAGAGAAGGTCCTCCTCAATGCAGCTCCTTCTTCCGATCAGAGATGCAGAGGGGTGCCAACTTGTGGCACCATCTGTTTAATGTACAGCCAAGTGTGAGGCAGCCTGGCTGGCTGGTTTCCTGCACGTATGTCCCGGCTTTCTTCCTGGAGCTCAGAGCAGCATCTGCCCTCATTTTATCCTCACGGTAACAGCCCTGTGAGGCAGGCCGGATTGAGAGGCGGTAACAGGCCCTTAATCAGCAAGGGAGCTTCCTGGCCTCCCCCCAAACCAACACTTGAGCCGCTGGCATCTTCTGCAAGCGGGCGCAGACCAGGCTGCTCCGGATGAGGCCCCTCGTTTTGACCTAGGAAAGGGGTGTAGATGCAGAGCTCAGAAACCTCATATGCGCGGAATGGAGGCATCTGCTGTGGGAGGGAGAAGGAGATGAGGCCAGTTAGCTCTGCCAGCTCCCTGCCAGAGATGGCTGCTGCGTGAGGCGGCTTTGAAAACAAATCCATGGAGCGGGGGTGTTAGGGACGCTCCATTTGAAGAGAATTAGCCATGCTAGCTCGGTGGGACTCTGGGGTGTGTGGGTGTCGGTGCGCACGCTACGAGATGCTGCTCGGCTGCCTCCAGCCAGCCCATCGCTTGCCACTGTGGGAATCGGGCAGGAGCTGGCCGTTTCGCTCCAGTCCGGGAACAAGAGTCTTGTCCTGTTGGAGGAGTAAGTGCTGTGTTTTGTTCTGCTTGAAGGATGAACGAAGAGCAGATCGCAGCCGTCTGCCTCTCTGTGCTGAAGGCCCTTTCCGTACTCCACGCTCAGGGCGTCATCCACCGGGACATCAAGAGCGACTCCATTCTGCTCACCCATGATGGCCGGGTGAGTGGCAGGCGCCCCGGGGGCAGATCCTGAGTCGCCTCCGCTTCGGCTTCCTAGAGAGCCCGGTGAAGGGTCAGGCAGGCCTCCCTTTTTGCTCCCCAGGCAGCTGGCATGTTAGCAGCCTAAGCGCCTGAAAGGCTGCGTGCAAATCATGAGAAGAAAATTCCGGGATCTCTAGCACCACCTGCAGCACCACGTCAGTAGTGACGGCCAGTCCTTGGAGACTGTTCTTGAGACTTCTTTAGAATTTCTGGAACATTTAAGACCTCCCTCTGTGTTCTCCGTGGGGAGCCAAAATCAAACGGAGCAGCATTTCCTCCAGCATTGTGAAAATGGAAATTATGTGCCTGGGCATTTGCACACAGATCAGCCTGACGCACAGGCCGTCTGTTGTGGGAAGCCGAAGACGCCGAGCCCATTTGCAGGGTCTGTACAGCAGGCAGATATCTGAGGCCGAGGCTTCAAAACAAATCGTTGCAGGGTCAAAAGGATTAAGCCAAATCCTGAGGAGGAGGAATGGCTCCTCTCAGGGTACGACCTCCTCTTGAGGAAAGTCCTCTGTTTTGCCAGGGCTGAAAAAGACCCTTGCTGCCTTTTTCTTGCCCACCACAAAGTAAGAATGAGGCCCTAGAGATCACCCATAGCTGGAAAGCAGGCCAGGGTGGCCTGTGTGGGGTGGAATTCACGCCAGTAGAGTATAATTTGCGTATTAGGGCTTTTTTGCCCCTCTCTCAATTTTTTTATAAAATACGTTAGAAACAGAGTTGAGGTGGTGGTGGTGGTGGGGACGTTCTGAAAGAAAGCTCTGGGATGCAGTCGTTCAGCAGCTCTGTGCGCGTCCTGCCATCACTGCTTCCTTCACTTGCCTTTCCTTCAGGTCAAGCTCTCTGACTTTGGATTCTGCGCGCAAGTGAACAAGGAGGTGCCACGGCGCAAGTCGCTGGTGGGAACCCCTTACTGGATGGCCCCAGAACTCATCTCCCGGTTGCCCTACGGGCCAGAGGTGAGATGGAAGACGGGGCTGGGCTGTGTGATCCTTGCGTGCGGAAGGGTTTCTCAGGGGTCAGTTTGGGGGGCCTTTTGAGAAGTGCTGAAAGGAGACCGCAGCAGAATAGCCAGCTTCAGGTGTACGTTTGTAGATGGGGGGCCCAGATTCTGCCTGGTTTTCCCAGAGAACCTTAACGGCCGGGGACCCCAAAGTTTCTGTCTGAAACCCTAAAGAATCGGCTGGGACTCTGCAGCAGGGACCGCATTTCTTGATGGCTGCCCCCCTTCCACTGCCACCTCGCTCTAGCTTCGGGCAGTGGCGTTTGACGTGGACCTCCAGACAAGAGAGTCCACGAATGTTGCTTTCTCTTTCGCTGATGTTTTTTATTTCTGCCCCAGTTACTCAACCTGCACAATGCAGAACCCCTCCGAAAAGGGAAAGCATTGCTGCTTGAGAGAGAGTGGACAGCACAGCAGAGCAGCCCCCCTCCCTTCCCTTCCCTCCCCCCCTCCCTCCCCCCAGCCTGGACAACGAAATCCCCAAAACGATTTCAGTGAAAAGAGAAAGTAGCCACATCTGAGGAGCTCAGCTGCCAGGCGCTCCTTGCACAGGCGCTCCTCCTGATCCCCCTTCTTCTGCCTCAGGTGGACATCTGGTCCCTTGGCGTGATGGTGATAGAGATGGTTGATGGGGAGCCCCCTTATTTCAATGAGCCCCCTCTGAAGGCCATGAAGATGATCCGAGACAACCTGCCCCCTAAACTTAAAAACGTGCACAAGGTAATGCCCCTCCCTGCTCTCTGCTTCTCCCAGCTGGGAGAGAGCGGGTACAAAGGTCCGCCGTGGAAGCTGCCCAGGGCGGCTTCTGTGGGGTTCCAGGCCCACCCTAGGATTGCCGTGTCCAGCCATTTTTTGCTTGGGTGCATCACGCATTATCCAAGTGTAACTTCTGGTGCCAGCTGTTCATGCCAGTGGCTGTGACTTAATTTCCATCCATCATCATGAGAAGGGTAACGGGTCTGATCGTACCTGCCTCTCCCAGCTCTTGGGGCTGGGCTGTAGCCCTTCTGCTGGGTGGCAGGAAAAGGGGGTCCTGTCAATGTCGTTTGTGAAACGATGTTAGATTCACCGGCCAGTTGGCTTCTGGGTCAGGGCCTGGTACGAGACCACCAGGATCAGGAGTTCCTTTGGCCCAGGACGGGCAGAAAGGTTGGGTCCATCTAGTGTCTCGGGGGGCTTCCTTCAGGCTGCTCCTCGCCCCCAGGAGCCTCACCTGGCTGGCTGCCTCTTGCTCTCTTCCTCCTTCCAGCCGGGGCTCATGTCGCTCTGCTCTTTCTTCCTTGGCAGGTCTCTCCTTCCTTGAAGGGGTTCCTTGACCGCTTGCTGGTCCGAGACCCAGCCCAAAGAGCCACGGCCAACGAGCTCTTGAAGCATCCCTTCGTAGGCAAAGCCGGCCCCCCGTCCTGCATCGTGCCCCTGATGAGGCAGAACCGGATGAGATGAAAGAGCCGGACTCCTTACTGAAGAGAGAACAGGGTCGGGAAAGGTCCATCATCCCCAGCCAGTCCCATGAAGCAGCTGGAGACCTGCCAGTGAGGATGGGGTTCTGGGACCCCTCCAAGCCCTGCTCCGTGGGGGGAGTTCCCCCCCCATTGGTGTGGGCAAGAGGAGTTCAGCAAGCAGCTGGGACCCTTCTTTAAGGACTCCTCTTGATCAACCGATGACGCAGCCCCCCAAATGGACGCAGCAGACGCATCTCCAGCAGACCTTTCTGCATCACCACATTGTACTACTGAAGTGAAGTGGGGCTGAGGCTGGGGCTGGGGCTGGGGCTGGGGCTAGGGGGGTTAAAAGGTGGCAACATTTCTATTGCCCTTTCATTGTTTGTATCCTAAATCCTGGGCAGCGATGTTCCGGTTGGGGAGCGGGCAGCGGTCTGGCATAGCAGAAATGTTTTCTTCCCTCTCAGCTAAGCACAGAGAAGGTGGGGCGTTGGCCAAAGGCACCCTGGGGGAGAGGGGAGGGGGCCCTTCCGGGCAGGAACTCCTAAGCACCCACGGTCTCCGCTGCTGCAGACAGGAGGGAGCAGCGGAGCCACATGGCAGGCGCCCCTTCCCCAGGGAGAGGCGGATCATCGGGTGCAGAAAACTCGCTTGCTCCCGATGTTGCTTTTTCTCGCAGTGAAGATGGATCCTGAATCTCAGGTAGGGAAAACTCGCCCTAGAGAACCTCAGTGGCTGGACATGAGAATCTGGGGCTCCTGCTCATTCTGAGCTGCCAGGTACAGCGCAGGATCCTCCGTCCAGATGGGCGGTCGCTTGCAGAGCTCGGCTTGTCACGGAGACCGAGGACTTCCTCAGGCTCGGCGGGGTGACTGCAGGCACCTAGTGCTGCCGAATGGCATTCCTGCGGCTGCGGCAGAGGAAGCGCATCCCGGGGTGAGGCGCGCTTTTACCTTGGAGGGGGGAGGTGGCAGGAAAGGGCCGTGGCCTCACAGCAAGCCCTGTCCCTGGGGTTCCCCCGTAGCGTGCGAGGGAGCTTGGGCAAGAGGTGTCGGCCTGGGCAGGCAGAGATTGTGCCCCGCGTTTTGTCCAGGAGCAAAATGGGCCTGTTGCTAATCGGGTAGGAACTGCAGCCAGCGATGCCCCTGATCCCAGAAGGCTGGTTGTGATCCTGCCCCGTTGCCCCGTTTCTCTCCCCCAAAGAGCCCGGCTGCTGGCTGCCTCTCCTGCAACCCTGCAGCGCCCCTTACCGGGCCCGAGAGGGTGTCCCTCAGGCCTGGACGGCCTCTTGTGCTGCCCCGCGTGAATCTGCTTGGCTGCTCTTGTGCTTCGTGCCGTCCCCCTCCCCGCGTGGCAGAAACGGCTTGTGGCAGGGGAATTACGTGGGAGTGGGAGTGGGAGTCATCCCAGTCTTGATCTAAAAATGTGAGGCGTGGCCTGCCTTCGCAAGGACTCTCAGCTGCTACTTCCCGCTGTAGGGCTGGAAGGTGGAAAGGGCGGGTGGGCGAGCAGTGGGCCTCCAGGTGAGCCGTGTCCGGCGGTGGGACGCTCGGTCGCTTCCCTTGCCCTGCTGGGAGAGGAGGAGGAGGAGGAGGAGGTTCCTGTCCCTTTGTCCCAGAGCCGGGCCCTGAAAAGAACGGTTTGGGGGGTGCAGCAGCAAAATGGCCCTTGTCTCCTTGGCCCTCAGCAGGTGGCGCTGCTCTCAGGCAGGAGGGGCAGAGGGGCCTGGCACAGGGAGGACAAAGGGGCCTGAGGCGCCAGCTCTGGGCCTGACCGAGTGAAGGGGCGCTTCCATCGTGGGCACCAGGGCAGAGAAGCAAAGGCTTCTCGAGGCCCTCCGAGCACCTGAAGCCCCGGGGGTTTTGCCTGGCTGTTTGGGGGGGGGAGAGGGGTGCCACTGTCTTTGGGAAGGGTGCCAAAGGAAGGGCACCGCTGCTCCTCTGACGATAACTGTTCCTTGCATGTTGTACAGTGTGAGCTTCTCTGCATGCAGAAAATATTAGGGGAAGGGTTGTACTTCTCTGCAGGTGCTTGGGGTTTTCTACCTGCCTGGATTTAGATTCTCGTGGGTGTATATTATGCATAATCTTTGCTGTGTTATCTTTGAGGAGGGGTGGAAGACGCAGCCTCCCTCGGGCTCAGATTGCGAGTATTTCTTCCTGCAGGCACAGCTTTTCCTCTGCCCCTACAAAAAAGCCTCCAGCGTTTCCGGGGCCTCCCTCTTGCCACCTTCAGGGACTCCGTTTACCAAGTGGGTTCAGCGTGATGCCTGCCTCCTTTTCAAGAAAGGAGCAGCCTGCCCCAAAGATACTGCCAGTTGTGTATGTGTGGGTGTTCCTCTTCTCCAGCCGTGCCAGTGGACCTCCAGAGCCAGCTGGTGGGTTTGGAAAGGCTTCTCTAGGCCCGTGGGCTGGGGTGCCCTAGCAAGCACCTGCCTGCCTGGCCCCCTTCCTCTCGGGGGACTCACTGAGGTCTCTCTCCCCTTCGTCCTCCGCGGGAAGCCCAGCCTGGGCTGATCCTGCAGGGTTGCTCCGATCCGCCCCACAGGGGCGTTCGCTGAGCAAGGTCTTCGGTGCTAGCATTCCTGACTTAACGACAGCCCAGCCGGGTCACACCATCTCTGGGCGCAGGCTTCGTTCCCAGAGGCGTCGGCCTCGCCAGCCTCCCAAGCCTCTCCTCTTCCGGCATTTCACGCGTGCCCAGCGGTCCAGAGGGTGCTCGGCCGCTCCGCCTGCGCGCCGATCGCTCCCCTTCCCCATTTTGGATAGCCGGTTGCTGCCTTTACTTCAGGAATCCGTTTTTTATGTACAGACTTTTTTTTAACACACTAGCACCTCAAGTATGCAAGAATATTTAACTTTTCCTGCAGGGAAAAAGACTTAAAATCTCAGATGAAGCTGCCACGTCAGGGAGGTGCGGTTTCTGGGGTGGCCATCTTCCACCTCTTCTGGCTTCCTCACCACTTCCCTAACCCAACACTACATTTTCCCAGATTTCTGAAATAAAGGACTGGAATTTTAACTGCAGGCCTGGAGGACCTGGCCACAGATGCCTTTCTCCCTCCCCGCCTCCTGGTCGCTTGAAGAATTTTATAACTGGAGGCCTCATCCAGAGTTGTTTTCCCCCTCTACAAGAATGACTACTGATTCATTTTGTGGGGTTTTGTTACCTTTTTTTTTAAGAAGTTATTTATATTGGTTTTTTCCTGTTTTTGTTATCTTTGGTAACTCAACAGCATTTCATGTTGAGATGATTTTTTAAAAATTGCTTCAGACAAACTGCTGTGATTAATTCTAGTAACAGTTTAGCCATGAATTGTCTTGTATAAAGAGTCAAAGTTTGTGTCAAAGTACTGGTTGTGAGCTGGTTTTGTGTGTGTGTGTGTGTGTGTTTCAAATATAGCGTTGAGTTCGGGTGAGATGGCCAACAGTAACCTTTTATAGTTAAAGAAGTACAGTATGCTGTTTCTTTTACGTTTAATTCCCCCCTTTTAATCTTCCTGGCCCACTAAGAAATAAGCTACAGAAACAGCAGAATCGCGGTCCAGCTCTTCCTAGAGGGAATCACTTCCGTGATTTTAAACTTCTGCATCTACAGAATGTGCATGAGCAGAAGAACATTTGATGGAGGCCATCTTCAGGCGGGGCGGGCTTCTTGACCACCCCTTGCTCTGCCCAAACAAGCCATCTTCTGATTTAACATCTCCGGAAGCTGAGGAGACCAGGGCTGGGTCCTCACTGTATACTGAGACCGCGGAGCGCCCCGATGAGCGTGTTGTGTCGTGCAGAGTGATAAGCACAAACACTCCTGTTTGTGCAGAGCGCAGCAAAAACTCCAGGAAAACATTAGCCATGACAGCAAACACAATGCAATGTCCATTTCTTGTTTCCCAAAGAAATCCAGTCAGAAAATATATACTAACTGGTGTTTATTGATAAAAATGCAAAAACTCCATAAAATGCAAATATCATACAAAATATAAAGAAAAACACATCTTCTCATTATATTGTAGCATCCAAGACTTATTAGCAACACAAGCTTAACAAAATCTCCACCTACAAACTCTTAGAGAAGAGGTACGCTACTTGGTATATACTAACTGGTGTTTATTGATAAAAATGCAAAAACTCCATAAAATGCAAATATCATACAAAATATAAAGAAAAACACATCTTCTCATTATATTGTAGCATCCAAGACTTATTAGCAACACAAGCTTAACAAAATCTCCACCTACAAACTCTTAGAGAAGAGGTACGCTACTTGGTAATTTGTTACAACTACGCAGCCCATAAAACCTACAGAGTGGCTAACACTAAAACAACTAACAACTACTCTGAGAGGCTGCACATTTTCCTCTCCTCGTATTATAGCTCTGTGCCACCCCCACTGGGTAACTAGCAAACACACGCCAATAGGTGGCAGTAAATAGCACAATACACAACACACAATAACAGCTGTTTTTCACATGATCTCTGTAGTCAAAATATTATTTGTTATTGTTGTAAAGATAATCCTTTCCCATGAGAATGAAAATCCTGACACCCCTCTCAGCCCG